TTCGTCACCTCGACTGTATAATCATAAGGGATCTGATTTGGGTCATACCTGAATGGCTTATTGGTTTTCCCTACTTTCTTCAATTTAAGCCTAAATTTTACAGTAAGGAGTTCATAATCTGAGCCACAATCAGCTCCCAGGTCTGTTTTTGCTGACTGTAGAGAGCTTCTACATTTTCAGCTGCAGAGAATAAAATCAATCTGATTCTGGTATTGATCATTTGGTGATGTTCATGTGTAGAGAAGTCTTTTGTGTTTCTGTAAAAGCGTGTTTGTTATGACCAATATGTTCTCTTGACAAAATTCTGTTAGTATTTGCTCTGCTTCATTTTGTACTCCAAGGCCAAACTTGCCAATTACTCCAGGTATCTCTTAACTTCCTACTTTTGCATTCCAATCTCCTATGATGAAAAGGACATCTTTTTTGGTGTTAGTTCTAGAAAGTCTTGTGGGTCTTCATTTAACTGGTCAACTTCAGCTTATTCAGGATTAGTGGTTGAGGCATAGACTTGGATTACTGTGATGTTGAATAAATTATAAGCTATATAATAAATTATATAATTATTGGAAATAAACCAAGATCATCCTGTCATTTTTGAAAATGTACCCAAGTACTGCATCTTGGGCTCTTTTGTTGACTATGAGGGCTACTGCATTTCTTCTAAGGGATTCTTGCCCACAGTAATAGATATAGTGACCATCTGAATTAAACTTTCCCATTACTATCCATTTTAGTTCACTGATTCCTAAGATGTCAATGTTAAGTCTTGCCATCTCCTATGTGAACACGTCCAACTTACCTTGATTCATGTTAATTCTGGATTTATGCAGTATTATTCTTTACAGCACTGGACTTTACTTTCACTACCAATCACATGCACAACTGACCACTGTTTCCACTTTGGTCCAGTCGCTTCATTCTTTCTGAAGCTATTTGTAATTGCCCTCCAGTCTTCCTCAGTAGCATACTGGACACCTTCTGACCTGGGGGATTCATCTTCCAGTGCCATATCTTTTTGCTTTTTCATACTACTCATGGGGTTCTCATGGCAAGCACTGGAGTGGTTTGCCATTCCCTCCTCCAGGGCACCACGTTTTGTCAGAACTCTTCACTGTGACCCATCTGTCTTGGGTGGCCCTGCAGAGCATGGCTCATAGCTTCATTGAATTATGCAAGCCCGTTTACCACAATAGAATTGTGATCCATGAAGGGGATCAGTATAGCTAAGCCTTATCAAGATTACTAATATTTTCAAAATAACTGACTTTTTGGCCCCATTGATTTTCTCTATTGTTTTCCTATTCTCTAATTTATCAGTTCTAATCTTTATTCTTTTCTTCTGTTTGCTGTGCTTCATTTGCTGTTTTTTCCCCAGTGTCTTAAAGTGGAAGGTTAGGTTATTGATTTAAGACATTTCTTTTTCAGTAGATGGAGTTATAGCTTCATCCTGCACATTCTGGTATGTTTTGCTTTTTATTCATTTAAAGTTTTAGTATGTTGTTCTTTCATTTCATTAATTTCAAATTAGTTTCTAATTTCCTTTAGGTATTCTTTTTTGATCCACTGGTTACTTAAACTGTGTTATTACAATTTTTATTTCCCTGTTGATCTTCTTCCTGGTTGTTTTTCCATCACTGAAAGTGGGGTACTGAAGTCTCCAGATACTACTGTTGAATTATTTATTTCTCTTGTTAGTTTTTGTTTCATGTATTTTTAGGGCTCTGTGTTGTTAGGTGCATATATGTTTTTAATGATAATGTCTTTCTGTTGGGTTGACCCCTTTATGAAACAGAATGTCCTGTTGTCTCTAGAAACACTTTTTGTACTGAACTCTAAGTCCTCTGATATTTATATAGCCACTCCAGGTTTCTTATGGTTGTTGTTTGCATTACATATCTTGATCCTTCCTCCTCCTTTCTTACCCCTCTTGTATCTTTAAACTTAGTATGTGTCTCATATAAACAGTAGAGAATTGTATCCAAAAAATGTTTTTTTGATCCACCTTGAAAATCTCTGCTTTGATAGAATGATTAATCCATTCACATTTAATGTTATTAATGTTATAGTTGGACTTATGTCTGCCATTTTAATTTTTGTTTTTTAAGTGTCTTGGAGTTTTTCCTCTATTCTTCCTTTATTGCTTTCTTTTACATTTAAGTGAGTATTTTCTAAGTGGAATACTTTAACTCTTTTAACAATTTTTTTACTATGTATTTTTGAGTTAATTTCCTTCCGGTTCCTCTGGAGCTTACTATATACATTTCAACTTCTTAGAATTACTTCAGATTGATACTTAATTCCTGTGGGATACTGAAGTGTTACTCCTATATAACTCGATTTCCTCATCCCTCTTTTTTGTGCTATTATCTCTCTATATTACAAATCCAACAATACAGTGTTCTAATTATTATTGTATATAATTTATGTTTTTTAAAGAAGCTGATAGAAGGCAAACAAGTATATATTCATGTTTGTTATATAAAGCTTCTTTATTATAATTTCTATCACTTATGTCATTTGTTCTTATGGAATAACAGAAGGAAAAGATGGGAAGTATTTGAGGAAAACTTTTTTATAACTAAGTAAATATGAAAGGTAAAAGACTAAGAGGGTTAATTAAGAACACCCCAAAGGCAAGAAACAGAAAAATGCACAGCTTTCAAAACTTTGAGGATTCAGATAATTAAAACCACCTAAGGTTTTTCCAGTAGTCATGTATGGATGTGAGAGTTGGACTATAAAGAAAGCTGAATGCTGAAGAATTGATGCTTTCAACTGTGGTGTTGAAGAAGACTCTTGAAGAGTCCCCTGGATTGCAAGGAGATCCAACCTGTCAATCCTAAATGAAATCAGTCCAGAATATTCATTGGAAGGACTGACGCTGAAGCTGAAACTCCAATACTTTGCCACCGGATGCGAAGAACTGACTCATTGGAAAAGACCCTGATGCTGGGAAAGATTGAAGGCGGGAGGAGAAGGGGACGACAGAGGATGAGATGGTTGGATGGCATCACCAACTCAATGGACATGACTTTGAGTAAACTCTGGGAGTTGGTGATGGACAGGGAAGCCTAGCATGCTGCAGTCCATGGGGTCACAAAGAGTCGGACATAACTGAGCAACTGAACTGAACTGAAGCATTCAAAAATCAGATTAATAATATAAACAAGCACACTTACTGGCATAGAAATAAACTGTTATGTGAAAAAATGTGTCACAAAATTGTATAATATGATACCATTTAGTGTACTATGTCATTTGGTGCAGAGAGGAGGAGGAGGGTGAAAGGAGGAGGGAAAGGAAGAGAAGGGAGGGGGATGAGGATGAGGTAGGAGGACCCATACCAAAATGTTAGCTATGGGTCAAAGAATTATGGATACATTTTATATTAAGGTCTCTGAATGTATATATTTAAAGTTTTTAATATTTAATATGTATTTGTGATAAAACAATAAACTTAAAAAATTAATCCAGCAGAAATGATCAAAAGACAAAAAGGCAAGTCACCTTTGATGAAATAGAAATGGCCAAAAATGTATGAAAAAACTCCTGTCTCACTAGTAATTATAGAAATGCAATGTAAGATAATGCTGAATTTATTACTTATCAAATGGGAAAGATTCTTAAAGAGGAAGATACTTAGTGTGAGTAAGGGTTATAGGAAATACACTCACTTTGTTGATGAAAGTATAAAATGAAAATACATTCTGAAAATAAATTTAATAGTTTTTATAAAAGCCCTTAAAAATATCTACACTCTTTAATTTAGCAATTCCTTTTCTGGGGAATTTATTTTAGGGAAAAGTATAGTGGATGTTGGGTTTCCCAGGTGGCATTTGTGGTAAAGAATCTGCCTGACAATGCAGGATATGTGGGTTTGATCCCTGGGTCGGGAAGATCCCCTGGAGGAGGGCATGGCAACCCACTCCAGTATCCTTAGCTGGAGAATCCCATGGATGGAGGAGCCTGGAAGGCTACAGTCCGTGGAGTCACACAGAGTCAGACATGACTAAAGTGACTTAGCACGCATGCATGCATAGTGGATTATTACAACTGTTTAGCTAAAACTACTAGGGGATATTTAGGAGAATAAATTAATCTAAATATCCAAAGAGTATATAAAAGTTTATATGAAAAAGACTGTACAACACATTCCAACTTTTAATAGTGTCTTTTTCTGAGTGGTAGAATTATTAGCATTAAAATTATTATTAAAATTTATTTTCTTCTGCTTTATCCATGTTTTTGAAGTTGTCTATAATGAATAATAAATTAATATCTTTTGAAATGGACAACAAAGTTATTTAACATACATGCTGCCCATGAAATAAATTAGTTTCATTTCTATTTCATTGATTTCCAAACCATATATCTAACATTTAGATAACTTTTTGAACTGATATGCAGACAGCCGAGTCAGTGATGCTAGCAAGCAGCATCAGGGACTATAGGCTCCCCCTCCCTTGGTACTGAGCATAAGCTACATGCAGGGTACTGTTTACACAAGATAGGTATAAAAAGAAAGGGACACAGATTTTTGCATCCCTCTTTTTTCTTTTTATTCCTAGCTTGTGTAACAGTGTTACAGATGTCTAAGAAACAGGTGCATAAACTCACAGATACCAATCAAGGTATGCCAAAGAAATGGAGAGAAAAAAAAAAAACGGAGAGATGGTTCTAACTGGCAGAGTGAGGGCATGTTTACTACTGAACCAGGAAGATCATGAAACAACTAAAATTCACAGTTATCTATTCCCATATTCCATATAAACGCTTGCTATCCTTCAGAGACAGCTCACATGTTGCTTCACCTTTGTTTCTGGGGGTAAGAGCACTTCTCTTGATACACTGTGACTGTGGACTCAGTTTGAGGGCAGAGACTAAGTCTAACCCATCCTGGCACCCCTAGTTAACCTGGCATTCACTAGATATTCATCATGAATTTTCCAAGCTTTGTTCATGTGTTTAACATCTGGGCAAAGGAAACTCAGAAGTCATACCTGGTGGGGTTCCTTTTGTCTTCCTCAGAGATCAAAAACCAAACAAAATCTGCATAGCTCATTCTTCCCTCTTTCTGCACTGTTTTTCCCCTGAAGAAAACACATGGTTACAAAGTTTCCTAAGCAATTAATTACTCTTCTAAATTTAGCAGGATGACAGACTTAAGGAATAAAGTAACATTTCTTTGGAAATTAAGTTAAAAAAAAAAAGAAAACCAGAATGCTGGAAACCTCACAAAGGGCAACCTCTTTTATTGCCTATCTTATTTTCAAATGCCTCGAGGATGAAATTAGAAAGCATTTTGTAGATCTGAAGGAACTCTGGTTTCTAATATGAATACAAATCAGGTCAAATGCTGTTACCTGAACTTAGATAAATAGGGCTTCCCTGATAGCTCAGTTGGTAAAGAATCCGCCTGTAATACAGGAGACCCCAGTTTGATTCCTGGGTTGGGAAGATCCCCTGGAGAAGGGATAGGCTACCCACTCCAGTATCCTTGGGCTTCCCCTGTGGCTCAGCTGGTAAAGAATCTGCCTGCAATGTGGGAGACCTGGGTTTGATCCTTGGGTTGGGAAGATCCCCTGGAGAAGGGAAAGGCTACCCACTCTAGTATTCTGGCCTGGAGAATTCCATGAACTATATAGTCCATGGGGACTAATATCCATATATTAAAGTATTACTGTCATCTTGTATGAAGCCACACTGAATATTTTGTAGGGTATTATCTAACCTACAGCACAGACAAATTATGCAGGAAGCCTTGCTAAAAGGACATTGCTAAAAGTACTACCTGTAGTTCATTTTAAATCTCAGATGGTTTTTCTTACCTTGTTACTGCCCCAGAGAATATTCTTTCAATAATCCTGTTTGATGAAGCTAAACATAAATAAAAAGCACAAAGCTAGTTAAAACATGCTCCAAAAGGTACCATTTTTGGCAAATTTATTTTCAAGTAGCCACAAGGTAAAACTTAATAATCTTCCATGGTAAGAATATGAGTAGTTAAATTTTTACTTTTTATGTACAATTGACACTTTTTGAAAGAAGTAATCTGAGATAGCTAGGTCTATCAATCATTAAAAAAGAACAGGCAAATGGATGTGCCTGACAGCTGAAATATATTAATATAGTTGAGCACCAAATTGGTTCTGAATATCCTGACAACTGAGACAAAAATGTACAAAATTTATATTGATCTTGTTATCCAACAAGAAAAGACAACATTTCCTCTAAAACAAGGCAGATTTTATCCTAGCATTAAATTCAAGGGGGAACTGATTGTTGGGGATTTGAGTCAAACAACGGAGAACTGTTGTTCAGGTAGAATTTTAGAAAAGGTACCAAAAACATACCACAAAATACTTTTCTTACATTCTTATCCTATAAAATTCCAGGATATAACATAATATATAATTTTTAAATAAATTCCATCAGTAAATTTTATTCAGAGAGAGATGATTATATCTTAAGGTAGTATGTTGCATTTGATGATAGATCCTAGTAATCTGTACACTCACAGTGTACCTCACTGTGAGTTCAAAGTAACCAAAAGCATTAGTCAAAAAATGGAGGTAACAATAAACCTCAGATCTAGGGATGTGGTGAGGATAGCAATCTGTTTTTTTAACAAATGCCTCGCCAGTGGTATTCACACTACAATTTCAGAACCAGTGATGAGGTCATTAGAGAGTTAGCAGCTACCAGCATCTAACTCTTCTGCATAGCGTTAGGTACAGTCATTATTATTAAACCATTATTTTGGTTGAAGAATGCTGAAAAGATGAGTGTCAGCACAGCCATTCCTGGCCACATACCAAAGGTTGTATAAGGGCCCTCTAGAGTCTGTTGAGCACTGGTTTATGGGGTTAATAATTTGAAAATAAGAGGAAACAGAACAAAAGGCGCTACATGGGAAAGGCAGGGATATTTATTTCTGAAGTCTTTCTTTAGATTTGGAAGGTTTAACTTCCTAAAACTGCAGATCATGTTGTCTCATTAAGGACAGGTTGGTGGGTAAGCAATTACACAGAGTTTCAGTGGCCCCTTCATTATGCAGGCCTAGATGCCTGCTTTTCTGGACTTCATTCCTTCAATATGCCTCTAATGAGTTACTATATGTGTATATACAGTATTTTAGGGCTTAATGAGAACTACGTTTATGATAGCCAGAGAAGGTGCTTTACAGCCCGTAGGGTTTTGTGTGATCTCTGGAGGCTAGTTCACGTTAAACAGATCATCTGGCCACTGATGATCAAAAAATGCATAGCTAATGAAGCTGATCCAATACGTCTATAAATATCTCCATCTTTATACTATGCTTGAAATAGGAAGGTATGACTATAGGCATAACACAGAGATACTGTGGGTTCAGTTCCAGGTCACCTCAATACAGTGAATATCACAATAAAGTTGAGTCATATGAATTTTTTGGTTTCCCAGTGCATATGTTATGTTTGTACTATACGACACCACCCTTATGGCAGAAAGTGAAGAGGAACTAAAAAGCCTCTTGATGAAAGTGAAAGAGGAGAGTGAAAAAGTTGGCTTAAAGCTTAACATTCAGTAAAACTAAGATCATGGCATCTGGTCCCATCACTTCATGGGAAATAGATGGAGAAACACTGGAAGCAGTGTCAGACTATTTTTTTGGGCTCCAAAATCACTGCAGACGGTGATTGCAGCCGTGAAATTAAAAGACGCTTACTCCTTGGAAGGAAAGTTATGACCAACCTAGATAGCATATTGGGGCTTCCCTGGTGGCTTAGAGGGTAAGGCGTCCGCCTGCAATGTCAGGAGACCTGGGTTCAATCCCTGAGTTGGGAAGATCCCCTGGAGAAGGAAATGGCAACCCACTCCAGTATTCTTGCCTGGAAAATCCCATGGACAGAGGAGCCTGGGAGGCTGCAGTCCATGGGGTCGCAAAGAGTTGGATACGACTGAGTGACTTCAGATAGCATATTAAAAAGCAGAGACATTACTTTGCCAACAAAGGTCCATCTAGTCAAGGCTATGGTTTTTCCAGTGGTCATGTATGGATGTGAGAGTTGGACTGTGAAGAAAGCTGAGCACCGAAAAATTGATGCTTTTGAACTACGGTGTTGGAGAAGACTCTTGAGAGTCCCCTGGACTGCAAGGAGATAAAACCAGTCCATCCTAAAGGAGATCAGTCCTGGGTGTTCATTGGAAGGACTGACGCTGAAGCTGAAACTCCAATACTTTGGCCACCTCATGTGAAGAGTTGACTCACTGGAAAAGACCCTGATGCTGGGACGGATTGGGGGCAGGAGGAGAAGGGGACGACAGAGGATGAGATGGTTGGATGGCATCACTAACTCGATGGACATGAGTTTGAGTAAACTCTGGGAGTTGGCCATGGACAGGGAGGCCTGGAGTGCTGCGATTCATGGGGTCGCAGAGTCGGACACGACTGAGTGACTGAACTGAACTGAAAGTCTATTATGTGTTTAACAGCAGTTATGTCTTGAAAAAAACCAATGTATATAGCTTAAAAATATTTTATTGCTAAAAAAAATGCTAATAATCATCTGAGCCTTCAGTGAACTGTAGTCTTTTTGTTGGTGGAAGGTCTTGCCACCACCAATGTTGATGGCTGCTGACTGATCAGGGTGGTGGTTGTTGAAGGCTAGGGTGGATTTGGCAATTTCTTAAGACTACAACAAAATTTGCCACATAGATCGACCTGTCCTTTCACAAATGATTTCTCTGTTATGTGCAATGTAGTCTGACAGCATTTTACCCATAGCAGAAATTCTTTCAAAATTGGAGACAATCTTCTCAAACCTTGTTGCTGCTTTATCAATTAAGTTCATGTGATATTATAAATCCTTTGCAGTCATTTCAACAATCTTCACACTGTCTTTGCCAGGAGCAGATTCCATCTCAAGAAACTGCTCTCTTTGCTCATCCATAAGCAGCAACTCCTCTTCTGTTAAAATTTTATTATGGGATTGTAGTGATTCAGTCACATCTTCAGGCTCCTCCTCTAATTCTAGTTCTCTTGTTGTTTCTACCGCATCTGCAGTTACTTCCTCCACTGAAGTCTTGAACCCCTTAAAAACATGCATGAGAATTGGAATTGACTTCTAAATTCCTGTTTATATTGATATTCTGCCCTCATGAATCATGAATGGTCTTAATAGCATCTAGAATGGTGCTCCTTTACAGCAGGTTTTCAATGGACTTTGCCCAGATCCATCAGAGGAATCATTACCTATGGTAGCTAATACCCTTATGAAATTTATTTCTTGAATAAGACTTGAAAGTTGAAATTACTCTTTGGTCCATTAGGTGCAGAATGGATGTTGTGTCAGTAGGCATTTAAAGAACACTAATCTCATTGTACAATCTCCATCAGAGCTCTTGAGTGACCAGGTGCATTGTCAATCAGAGTCATATTTTGAATCTCTCTTTTTTTTCCCCCTGAGCAGTAGGTCTCAACAGCTGGTTTAAAATATTCAGAAAACCATGTTTTAAACAGATGTGCTGTTATTCAGGCTCTGTTGTTCCACTTGCAAAGTGTAGGCATAAAGAGATTTAGCATAATTCTTAAGGGCCTTTGGATCTTTGGAATGGTAAATAAGCACTGTTTTCACCTTACACTACCTGCACTGTATTAACGCCTAAAAAGACGCCTGTCCTTTGAAGCCAGGCACTGACTTCCTCTCTCTAGATATGAAAGTCCTAGATGGCATCTTCTTTCAACAGATGGCTATTTTGTTTATATTGAAAATCTGATGTAGCCACTTTCATGATCTTAGCTAGATCTTCTAGATAACTTGCTGCTTCACCTTGCACTTTCATATTATAGAGATGGCTTCTTTCCTTAAACCTCATGAACCAATTTTTGCTAGTTTCAAATTTTCTCCTGTAACTTCCTCACTTCTTTCAGCCTTCCAGAGTTGAAGACAACCTTGCTCTGGATTAGAATCTGGCTTAAGGGAATGTTGTGGCTGGTGTGGTCTTCTATCCAGGCTACTAAAACTTTCTACATATCAGCAAACAAAGTGTTTCACTTTCTTCTTCTTCTTTTTTGGCTGCATCACACAACCTGTGGGATTTAGTTTCCTGGCCAGGGATTGAACCTGGGCCCTCGGCAGTGACAGCGTGGAGTCCTAACCACTGGATCAGCGGGAATTCTCTGCTCCACTTTCTTATTCATGTGTTCACTGGAATAGCACTTTTAATTTCCTTCAAGAACTTTTCATTCACATTCATTCCCAACTTGGCTAACTGGCGCAAAAGGCCTAGCTTTCAGCCTATCCTAGCTTTCAACATGCCTTCCCCTCTAAGTTTCTAGCTTTTGATTTGAAGTCAGAGATGTGTCACTCTCCCTTTCACTTGAACACTTAGAGACCATTGTAGTATTAATGGTATGTATTAACTGGCCTGATTTAAATATTGTTGTGTCTCAGGGAATAGGGAGACCCGAGGAGAGGTAGAGAGACGGGGAAGACTTGGTTGATGAAGCACTCAGAATACCAACAACAGTTATCAATTAAGTTTGCTGTCACCTAGGTGTGGTTCACAGCACCCCAAAACAATTATAATAGTAATATCAAAGATCACTGACCACAGATCATCATAACAAATACAATGTTATATATCAATAAATCAATAAAATTTTGACATATTGTAAGAATCACCAAAATGTGACAAAGACAAAAAATGCACAAATGCTGTTGAAAAAATGGCACTGACAAGACTTGCCCAATGCAGGATTGCTACAAACATTTAATTTGTTTAAAAAAAAAAAAGCTCTATTTGCAAAGTACAATAAAGCAAAGTGAGTTAAAATGAGGCACACCTACCTGTACTTAAAGGACAGATATAGTACTAAAATGATTTTTTATCAATAAGTATGATTTAGTATTTCCTCTTGATGCCTGGTTGGCATGTGAACTTTTGAGAACTAGAACACTGTTTGCTAAATATGGAAAGGTCTATGAATACTGACATGCAGAATGAACCTTTTCTTAAGATATATACTACTAGTCATAGATACACTAAATTACAGAAACAAAGCATTTATTTAAGATTTGTACTTTGCTACATCTAAAAGGATAAAGGCTTATTTAGAAAATCCACAGTGTCTGAGAAGACATTTAATAATAGAATAGGGACAATCTTATGAGAGAAGAATGAATCAGTGCTTCTTGGTGCTTGGTTAAGAATATGCAAACAGCAGATAATAGGTTCTAAGTTTACTCTTGGTCAAAATGAAGTAAAAAGGGTAGTATCATGTGACATATACTTTTTGTTTTCTGGCAAAAGAAAGCACACAAAATTCATCTGCAGAGAAATTATGTTTTTCTAGAACTAAATTCCAAAAAGTTTTATGAATCCTTGAAAGCACTGGCAAGTCAGAGACATCATTTTCATCCTTAGCTATTTATAAACAGTGTAAATTGAGAATTTATAAAAGTGTATATAATTTCCTTTCAAATAAACTTTACATAGATGTGGTTCTTACTGAATTCATCAGGAGAAAACCAGCATCACTATAAAGACTCCTCCATTCATCAAAACCAAGGTTCTAATTTCTTACTTACCTCCAAACCTCTTCTCCTAAACCTGGTTTCTAGATAAAAAATTAGTATCTTCAATTCTTGGCCTTTTCAAGAGGATTTGATTAGATACATAATTTAAAAATGGGAATTCCCCATAATGAGTACAATTCCCCACAGTTTAACTCTTGTCTCCTTCAAATAGCTAAGTCAACATCCACAGAAACACTCACCCTGGTCATTGTATCGAGATAGATCGGCCTGGCTGATGTAGAGGTCATGATCACTATCTAGTTCCCAGAATTTACAATAAATAACATAGAAGTGTTCATAGGAGAAGTAATCTGTGATTTGGTTTATATCTTCCTCTTCTTCCAAAAGGGCTAGAGTCTGAAATGGTATGAATAAAAGGATTATTTTATTTTAAAAATATGAAGACCCAGCTTTGGCCATTATTCAGATTCTAGTACATTTTTATTCTAAACTGAATTAAAAATTTTGGTTTTGGTACCAAACCAGGAAATTTACTAGGCAACCTCATCCTATCTTTTAATCAATTGACCAATCTGCAAGCATTTATGAACTCTGTACTATTTTTAGCAAAGAATTAGGGGTTATGGAGGATTCAAAAACAGGGAAAGGGAAGAACTTTCATCAAGAGAACTGCAGGCAGAGGTCCCTCAACTAGGAAGCATAGAACAATCAGACAATTGACTTTCAATTACATGTAAACTGACACTGCTTTTAACTTTTCAAATTTACAAAAAGTGGTCTTCTATCCATTCTGTTATGAAGAGTGCGCATCCACATGCAGGGTTTGGCTTTGTAATGGCATCAATTTACCAGAAAGGTGATTCATGTACACCTCTGTGATAGTGTGGGGCAGCCTGGTAAAAAAGGCATGGGGGTAGAGCTGCAGGGCCCTGAACTGGAAATATTATCTGGGTCTCTCTTGACTCTCTGTGTGCCCCTAGGATAAACACCAAAACCCATCATTTTTGAGTCCAGAATTCTTATTATCAGTCAAATTATCATAATTCTTATTACCAGTCAAATTATCTTAAGGGCCAGAGATAATATGAAGACCTTTTTAGAAAGATTCAGAAAAAAAAAAAAGATAAACCATAAGGAAACTCAGGAAATAGAAAAAACAAAGTGAGATGACAGAAATAAGATCAGATACATCAATAGTTGGGACTTCCCTCATAGCTCAGTCGGTAAAGAATCTGCCTGCAATGAAGGAGACCTAGGTTCAATTTCTGGGTTGAGAGGATCCCCTGGAGAAGGAAATGGCAACCCACTCCAGTATTCTTGCCTGTAGATTCCCATGAACAGAGGAGCCTGGCAGGCTATAGCTCATGGGGTTGCAAGAGTCAGACATGACTTAGCAACTAAACCACTGCCGTATCAACAATCACAATAAAGGTAAAGAGATAAATCTCCCTATTGAAAGATTTTCAGATTGAGAATAAAACTCATATCCAAAAAGCAGATCTAGGTATACATTGTCCATAAGAGGTAAGTCTGACAGAGGATGAGATGGTTGGATGGTATCACCAACTCGATGGACATGAGTTTGAGCAGTCTCTGGGAGTTGGTGATGGACAGGGAAGCCTAGCGTGCTGCAGTCCATGGGGTTGCAGAGTCAGACATGAATGAATAGCTGAACTGAACTTAAAATTTTAAAGTAAGGTTAAAATATATACTAGCTAAATCTTAAAAAGAAAGCACATCAATATTAGAAAATAAAATGGAATCCAAGGTAAAAAGCATTATAAGAAAGATAACTATTAATATTTCATAATGCAAATGTATTATTTTCATAAGATTCATTTTCTAAAATGTGAATACTGGAAATCCAAAATACTATGGCAAATTGAAAACAAGATAAATTATGAAATTATGGTAAAAGAGACTCAATGAAGATTTTGCAGCCAGTAAAAATTATAAAGTCTACATAGAAACAAAGGAAAATCATGACATGCTAAGTGCAACATACAGGATATACGATTGTACACACTAAGAACTACATTAAATTCTAAAATCCAAATATGCATGTGAATACGACTAGAAGTACACATAAAAATATTAGTTTTATTAGGGTGCTAAAATATGCTTTCTCTTCTGTTTTTCACACTTGCTTGTAATGTTTTTATAAAATGATCTTTGACGTATAAAGCAGAGTATGTACAATAAAATAAATCTTGAGAAGCAGGGGGCTCTCATTTTCATCTACTGGATTGTGATAAAATGAAAAAATTAATAACTTCTGCTGTTGGTGAGCATGTAAATTTAAGTATGCATTAGTGTAGGTGTTTAGGAGGGTAACTTGGCAGGATCTATGAAACTGAAAATGCACACACCATCTGATCCAGAATTTTCCTTTCAGTAGTCTATTTTAGAGATATTCGTACTCATACGGAAACAAGAGGAAAGTGTAAGGGTGTTTGCTGCATTACCCTAATAGGGAGAATATGAAAACGACTTGAGCATCTTCAATATGTATGTAATTACAGCATAGCCATGCCACAGATTATGCAGTAGTTAAGAGAATGAGATATAGTTACATTGATCGAAATGAAAAAACATCAAGACATACTGTTAAGTGAAAAAAAGTTAATAGAATGTAAGGGTGGTATCACATATTAAAAAAAATTCATAAAAAGCAGCCATACAGAACAAAACTAAATAAATACTCCATACATACATACTCCATACACATGTATAAAAAGGAATAAAACCACAGATAATATGGGTTCCCTCTGGTAAAAGGAGTGAAATGGCAGGATAAAGAGATAAATAATGACTTCTGGTTATTATTTTATACATGTTTATATTATTTGAATATATTATGTGCATACATTCAGGTACTAAGAGGCAAACTAAGGAGAGGGTTAGGGAAGAAAATAGAGGGAAGCAGAAAGCAGAACACGAGCTCTATTTCCAGTTCAGTCACTGAGCAGCTGTATGGTCTTATCAAGTCATTCAACTGTATTTGGGCCTCAAATTTTATTGTAAGTAAGAAAAATCTGGATTATAATAATGATCTAGAAATACAAACTTAACATGCATCAGGAATGTTAGGATTATCATTCTTCAGATGTAAGACCTTTATTCAATGGAATTCTTGCCATCTCAACCCATCCCATCTAACATCCGGAGAGCTTAGGCAAAAACCAGATGTTCAGTAAATATTAATAATGACTGTAATGATGACTTTTCATTTATTAGAATAAGAAATGTTTGCATATCTATTACAGACTGCTAATTTCGCCAATTTTGTCTGTCCCAGATAAAGATGGGAAAAAAATAAAAGTGTAAACAAAGTTGTATTATTCACCCAAGTTTCATTTAGTATGATTTATTTAAAACATTTCATTTCCTTTCATTTCCTTTCAAGTGTGACCAATTCTACTTTCTTTAAGTTAGTAGAAATGCTTGAACAATCAAGCATGAAGACTGCCTCAGTAAAAGGCACCCACTAGTGGTCAATACTTTCTCATTTGGTAAAATAAATAAAATAATTGAATTAAATACATTCTTTCTTAAAAGGACTTTTCAGTAGTTTTCTCCAGCAGGAGCTGGATAAAGAGTCATTGCTCAAAGGAAAAAGTTGAAACTCCTCCATTTGTTTTGCCAGGCTTTTCCCAACCTGGCCCTGTCTCACCCCTCAGGCCTCATCACTGGTCACTGATCACTCTCTCCTTGGAGCCTGTGGCCACTTTAGACTGTCCTGCAGTTTCTGAACATGACACTTTCATGCTTCTGGGCCTTTGCTTATGCTGCTTCCTCTATCTGGAATCCCCTTTTCTTTTAATTTTTTTATCTTTTTAACTTGATATCTTCAAGGTCAAGACCACATGCCAGTCCTACTGTGAAGCCTTCACTGCATATTTATGACACATTTCTGTGGAATTTTTCAAGTCAGGTGTGGCTGTCTGTACACCTTTCTCTTGTTCCACAGTGCATGCCCTGATGCAAAAATCTCTTGTTACTCATCTTTGTTCCCCCAACACATCCCAGGTATCTGATAACTGCTTAATGACTGAAAATAGTGACTTTGCACATAATAGGGCTTTGCACATAATGAGCACTCAAATATTGGTTAAATGAAGTAAGATTATCATTTAAATTGCTCCTTAAACATGAATTTCAATGAGAGGCATACTTGCAAAAAGTTGCTTTTTCTTATCTCTGTTGCAGTAATTTTTCCGCTCCAAGATCTGTTGACTGTGTAGAATATTCTCTGAATAACCTGGTTCCAGAAGGAAAACAAAACCAAATAAAAACATTAAAGATATCTATTACTTTATCAAAGGCCATCTTATGAATATTCTTTGAACCAAGCCAAGTTTTGTGATTATATCAAGTGTCATTTCTAGTAAAATGTTTAAAAAACTACATCCATATACTTTACATCTGTCCTTATAATTCTAAGAATAAAAAGATTCTTTGCTCACAAGTCTGCATTTCCTAGGTGCCTACATGTCACTTTTTTTTTAACCTCTCATAGAGTGATGCCTGATTCAAGCAGTGCCTATCAGGCGAAGTGTTTTTGGAAAGTACAAAAGGTGAGAAGTATACACTGGGTTGGCTTAACAATTACTAGGTCAGAAGAATGGCTGCCAACGTGGTATGATTCAAGAGGGCATTATTCCAGTTAGTATAGCCTTATCCATTGGTCAGAGAAGGCAATGGCATCCTACTCCAGTACTCTTGCCTGGAAAATCCCATGGACAGAGGAGCCTGGTAGGCTGCAGTCCATGAGGTTGCTAAGAGTTGGACACGACTGAGCGACTTCACTTTCATTTTTCACTTTCATGCATTGGAGAAGGAAATGGCACCCACTCCAGTGTTGTTGCCTGGAGAATCCCAGGGACGGGGGAGCCTGGTGGGCTGCCGTCTGTGGGGTCGCACAGAGTCAGATACGACTGAAGTCACTTAGCAGTAGCAGTATCCATTGGTGTTTTGAAGACTTACAGACTGGAAATTCAGATACATTTGGGATAATTTATATCCCAAGTCCTTACTTGGGCATGAACAATTTTGTTACTAACTGGGTTTTAGTAAGTTTAACTAAGGTGAAATTCTGGAGAAGACCAGAACAAGACGAAAGAGCAGGAGGAAGGGTGGCAAGTGTGTCTGAAATTGAGGATGTATGTGCTGTGGTGGAGGGAGGACTGGAGAAGAAGACAGGCTGCAGTCCTCGAGGTAGGAGGCCACGGTGCATTCTTTCAATTTTACCTGGCTTATTCCCACCCATTTAATTTGCCCTTGACCTGGCTGTTTTTTGTTTTTTTTTTTTTCCCATTTTTCCTTTTCTCCAAAAAGAAGCAAGGATGAGAAAAGCAATTAAACAAGCTTTTTTTTTTTTTTGTACACTGGCTTTGATTTTGATTATCTAATGATTTGGAAATTCTGTATCCTTGGTGTTTTTTTTTTTTTTAATCATAGAAGAGATTAGATCCCTTTAAAAAGACTATTTTAGGGCATGAAGAACAAAAAGGGGAAGACATTTGGACATTTATCCTAAACTAAACCACTATTCTGTTTCTGGACCCTCTGCCAAACAGAGTGATTCCCAAGAATAAGAGGAGAAAACTAGCCTCATGATGAAGGTCCAGACTTCTGCCACCCAACAGTTCTCACCCCACCTTTGCTATCAGTGCTAATGTACCCTGATCCCTCAGAATCCAGCTCAATCACCATCTCCATAGGAAGCCCCTGAATAGGGAGTTGGGCTGAGCTGTCTTCTGTGTTCCTGACATCAGCTATGTCTCCTTCAGTCATCCTGTGGTTATATTCTAGACACAGGTACACCTGTCACCACTTCCAAACTCTAAGGAACCTGGTCTTTTTTCACGTGCATCCCAGTGCCTGATATATTACTCTGCCTATATCATCAAGTGGTCAATAACTACATGATAATTTAAGAAAAACTGAGGTATAATTAACATACATTACATTAGTTTTTGGCATACTAATGATTTAATATTTGTATACATTGTGAAGGGCTTCCCCGATGGCTCAGCAGGTAAAGAATCCACCTGCAATGCAGGAGACACAGGTTCGATTCCTGGGTCAAGAAAATCCCCTGGAGGAGGGCATGGCAATCCACTCCAGTATTCTTGCTGGGAAAATCCCATAGACAGAGGAGCCTGGTGGGTTAAGGTCCATGGGGTCACAAAGAGCTGGACATGGCTGAAGTGACTGAACATATATATTGTGAAATGATCACCAAAATGTCTCCTTAACATCCATCACTATAGTTACAGTGAAATTGTGAAATTTTAAGATTTACTCTTAGTAATTTTCAAACATGCAGCATAGTATTATGATCTATAGTTACCATGCTGTACATTACATCCCCATAACTAATTTATTTTACAACTGGAAGTTTACACCTTCTGATTTTCTTCACCCATTTCCCCCTCTCCCCATCTCCCACCTCTGGCAATCCTCAATCTGTTCTCTGAGTTTATTAAGTTTTCTTTTTTTATTTTTATTTGTTGGAGGCTCATTACTTTACAATATTGTAGTGGTTTTTGCCATACATTGACATCAATCAGCCATGGATTTACATGTGTTCCCCATCCCGATCCCCCCTCCCACCTCCCTCCCCATTGGATCCCTCTGGGTCTTCCCAGTGCACCAGCCCTGAGCACTTGTCTCATGTATCCAGCCTGGGCTGGTGATCTGTTTCACCCTTGATAGTATACTTGTTTCAATGCTGTTCTCTCAGATCATCCCACCTTCTCCCACAGAGTCCCAAAGTCTGTTCTGTACATCTGTGTCTCTTTTTCTGTTTTTGCATATAGGGTTATTGTTACCATCTTTTTTTCTTAAAGATTTATATCATACAATATTTATCTTTCTCTGACTGATTTCACTTGGCATAATGCCCTCAAGGTCCATCTATGGTATTGCAAATGGCAAGATTTCACTCTTTCCTAATGGATGAATAATATTTCATTGTATATATATTCTGAAAGTGAAAGTTGCACAGTCGTTTCTGATTCTTTGCGGCCCCATTGACTATGCAGTCCATGGAATTCTCCAAGCCAGAATACTGGAGTGGGTAGCCTTTCCCTTCTCCAGGGAATCTTCCCAACCCAGGGATTGAACCCAAGTCTGCTGCATTGCAGGTAGATTCTTTACCAACAGGGAAGCCCACATCTTCTTTATTCATTCATCTGTTGATGAACATTTAGCTTGTTTCCATATATTGGCCATTGTAAATAAGGCCATAGTAAACACAGGGGTGCATGTATCTTTTCACATTAGTGTTTCTGTTTTCTTTGGATGAATACCCAGAAGCAGAATTACTGAATTAGCTCTATTTGAATTTGTTTGAGGAACTTCCATTGGTGGTACCAATTTACATTCCCACCAACAATGCACAGGTTCCCTTTTCTCCACATCTTTGTTATTTTTTGTCTTTTTGATGAAGCCATTCTAACAAGTGTGAGGTGATATCTCACTTTAGTTTTGATTTGAATTTCCCTGATGATTAGTAGTGTTGAACATCTTTTCATGTACCTGTTGGCCATCTGTATGTCTTCTTTGGAAAACTGCTTGATAAATAAATGAGGTTGGAAAGCTGTGTAACAGATTTCTGAGTTATATTTGTGATAGAGACATATGCATTGGATTCATAGCTAACTGAATAAACTCTTCAGAGTTTTGAACAGCAGATAGATGTAACCTAGGGAAGTAATTAATATTTTACATAAATCAGTATTGTTGTCTGATTTATTGATAGGCTACATATAACATATATAGAAAATATAAAACAGAAAACTGTATACAAAATTATCGTGAAAGATACTACTGGACTAGAATGTAGATGTGATCATGATCTGAAAGGCTATCAGGTGGAAGAAGTTGATTTGCTTTGTATTGCATTACAGTGTAGAACTAGAACTGGAATTACGAGAATTACTGGATAGAAATGCTTCAATGTAAATACGAGTTTCCTAAAATTAGCCCTGTTAAGCAATGGGTTGTATGAAGTAGCGAAGTTTCTTCTCACCAAGTTATTTATGCAGAAATTCACAGGATTCCTATGTTAGGTGGGAGCAGGGACTAGCTGATGTCTATAACTTCTCTACTGGCTCCACTCAGACTCTGAATGAGGTGCTTCAGGGCAGAGAATAGAGGATTTTAGGCCAGCAATTATATATATATGAAAATAAAAATTAAGAATATCTTTTATCATAGTTCCATGTTCCTTTTCTCAAGTTAATTACAGCACATATTAGTACGCCAAACTTTTCTTTTTGTACATTCTTAGATTTTGTCCTTATTTCTTGATTTTGAATATAAAATTTTCTTAAAGTCTAAGTTTCCTATCTACCTAAATTTTATATATATATGTATATACTCCTTAAATATTTTATATTACTTATGAAGGTACTATGTTATACTTAAAAATATAAAACTTGAGTCTGTATTTTTGCTTATTTTATTTTTTCATTTTTTGTTTTGACAGAATTTTTAAAATTTGTAAACATTTTGAATATCAAGTAATTTCCTACTTTTAGCATCTGATAAGCTACCTGTCTCATACTGTAAAAAACTACATGTATTCCGTTTGTCCATAGCCTAAATCTCCTTATTCAGTGGCCCCACTACATCAGCACATTCACTGGTTTCCGCAATACTGATTCAGCATTTTTACTTATCGAGGCAGGGGCACCATCTAGTGGTAAGAGCATGTAGCTGCTGGTTCTACACTGCAGTTTTTTCCCCCCTAATTTTTGGTTTACCAGTTTTAGGTTTTTAAAATAGAAATTAAGAAAAATATAAAAATATCAAAAAATGTAAACATTAATAGCAGTAAGAATAACTACGTATTAATAATGAGAGAAATGAAATTGGATAATTTTTCACCAGGGGATCTCTAGTCAACTTGATAGACAATTTGAATTATAAATCAGTTTTTCTTTATATCTACTCAATTGGAAATTTCTAATTCATAATTTTAGATCACCAGGAATGGAAGGGGACTTCCCTGGTGGCTCAGATGGTAAAGAATCTGCCTGCAATGCAGGAGACCTGGGTTCAACCCCTGGGTTGAGAAGATCCCCTGGAGAAGTGAATGGCTACCCACTCCAGTATTCTTGCCTGGTGAATTCCATGGACAGAAGAGCCTGGTGGGCTACAGTCCATTAGTTTGCAAAGAGTTGGTTACAAGACTGAGTGACTGATACTTTTCACACTTTTAGGAATGGAAGTACGTGTTTGGTGGCTCTGTCAAGAGAGTTTTAGACAGGGGATCAAACACAGACACAGAAATTACAGAGATTGCTCTTTGTAGGTGATCTGGATGCAGATGAACAACTCAGTGCCAGAAGCCTGACCCTTCTATTAGGTGCCACTGAAATATCTTTACTGCCAGCACCAATATTACAAAAAAGTATTTTCAATCTTACCGCTTATTTTAAAACCTACCTCTTTCCTTAAAAGTCAGCATATGTCAATAAGGATAAGCAGAGTCTTATTTACTGGTAATTTCTTTGCATGGTATGTAAATATGCAAACTCAAGGGTCACAATTTGCAGGTATTTCCAATTTTCATTTTCATTCAGTATCAAAAGGCTTATTACTCAATGTTAACTCTTTTCTGGAAATAAGAGAAGACTTTGACTTTGGGTATTTGCTATATGCATAGTTGGTGTTCTGTCTTTCCAATCTAAAAGAGCTGACAAAATAATTATGATTAACTAAACAAATATAAAGTCTTTTCCTGTAGCACAGGTTTTCACTGAGAAATGGAAAATAAAAGTTGCCCAGTTTTCTTCATCATTTATGTGCCACACATAAGCTAGTACTTGAGTCATACACTGTGTCAGCAGTTTCTGCCAACTGTAAAGTGAAATAACTGTGTAACTCTAGTATGCAAACAAAATATATTAATTGTCCTATGCTGTATGCCATTGAAATTATATAATATTCAGTACGGTCATATGATAAATTAATTTTGCTTTTTTGAGACATTTGTCATTAATTCTGAGGCTGATCTTTGTAAGTCTCTTGGAAATACTGTTGTCTGTCTTTGCCATGAGCAGGGCAGAGTATAACACTTTTCTGCTTACTATTATGCCTTTAGCAAGAAAATTAATTTCATACTAGAAAGCTTATTTTGTATTTTTTATAGGAAGATTCACTGTACTTTGATTTAGTGCAAAATTTTCAATGACTTCATGTCATTATCTGACCAAATTTCATAATAGAAAAGACACTGTGGAGAAGAGACCATCAGTCCAATAAAATTCTATTCAGTGCGATGCTTTGTTAGCATCTCTGTGTTTTCAGTGATAGTATGAGATTATCACAAACAAGCAGTTACACTTATCTCAGTATATACAGATTCACATTTTGTATTCTCAGTTGGACCTAATTTACTACTTATGTTATGATGTTGTTTCGAGCTGCCCCGTTATCACTATTTAATCACAAGTAGTTTATACTTTTAGGACAACTTCTGAGTAATGGGCTCATCTTTATTTTTTTTTGGGGGGGGGGGGGCTCATCTTTAAAACAGTTTTATTGTTTACAATGTTGTGTTAGTTTCTCCTGTACAGCAAAGTGAACAAGTTATACTGGATTAATTTTTGTGAACTGGGGATAAAGTAGCATAATGCTAGCAAGGTATAAATTAAAAAAAAGTAAACAATAATATGCAAATACCATGGAGATATGTCAGCGGAAAATTAACTGGATTCCGGTAACTGACCTATGTAGTTCTTTTAGGTCAATGATTAACATACTAGTATTTCTCAGAAAATGTGAATTACATGCAAACAAAATTGTATCATGGCTTTTCACTTTCAAATCATAAAACTACCAGGGGTCACTAGATGACCCCAGTTTATCATAGGTCTGGGGATCATACTTTAGTAAATACCAAACTAGAAAGAGTACAAAGGAAAATTTATGTTTTCATAATCCTGTTCTTTAACATCTTCTCTAAGAACAAATTGAAATGATTCCTATAGAGGGCATTTTCTGAATTGGCAGAAGGTTGGAAGAGATTATCAAGATCTTTTCAATCTCTTGAGATTCTAATATATTATTGAGTGACCAAAAAGTTTGTCCAGGTTTCTCTGTTACATCTTACAGAAAAGCCTGAACAAACTTTTTGGCCAACTCAATTTTAATATGCCCTGAGTTTACAGAACAGTCAACAATCAGAATCCAGTAATTCTCATTGGGACTGAAATCACGGTTACATGTAGAATTCTTAATTCTACACATGAATAACTTCACTTACTCACTCAATAAATAACTACTGTATATCTATTATGTGCCAGGCCCTATTTCAGGTATTAGAGATATAGCAAGATCTAAATATAGACAAAGTCCCTCCTCTCATGGAGTTTATGTTATAGAGAAAGACATGGACAATAAACAAAAAATTTAAATATCAGATGTTATATGCACTAAGAAGGAAAATAAAGCAAAACAAGAGTAGAGGGAGGGGACAGAGAGGGAAGACAGGGGAAGAAGGCAGAGGGTGATCAGGGAAGGTCTCATTAAGGGAATGTCTGAGTACACGTCTGGATGAAGTGAGGGAGTGGGTCACGCAGCAATCTGTAGGAAGAGCATTCCAGGCAGAGGAGAGAGTAAGAACAAAGCACCTGAGGCAGAAGTAGGTTTGGCTTGTTCCTGGAACAGAGAGAACAACTGTTGCTTAAGTAACAGAGAGTAGGCATTGTAAGGGTGTGGTGGGTGGGTAAGGGGTTAGGGAGAATAATGGCAAGAACTTTGGCTTTCATTCTGAATGAGACGGGGAAACATTGGGAGGTTTGAGCAAAGGAGTGACATGATCTGACTTATGTTTTCAAAGAATAACTCTGCTTTGTGGAGACTAGACTGTAGGGCAATGAAGGTAGGGAGACCAATTAGAAGGAGTCCACGTGAGAAACAAGGATGACCAGCTGGGCCAGGGTGACTGTGGTAGTTTAGTATCAGGTTGTGGTTAACAGGCAAAAATAACTTCTAAGATAGTCTTAGATGGCAGTGACATTTTATGGTTCAAATGAAGTCTTATAAAGTTTTATGTCATAAGAGAATCAATGTAAAAAGGAAATAATGAAGTTCCTACAGGAGAAAAAAGAATGGCAGTATTCTGTAACTCAACAGAACCCAACAATCCATAGCCAACAAAAAGTGCCCCAAGAAGGAGAGTGTCTTCCTCAGAAGAGACTGCCCTATTTACTGGGAGATCTGAACCAGAGGTGGGGATCATATCAGCTGGGTATGGCTGTGAATGCGAGGTATGCCCTGAGGTTCATCTGTGGAATTCTTGCAAAGATAATCTGGAAGCTAGGACAGAGAACGCCTGGTGTGGCTGCAGTGAGCTGCAGGCCTGGGAGCTCTCACCCATAATGCATGCCCTGCCTGTGACTGATCAAATGAGGCTGTGCATGAGAAACAGGGAATGAGAACACCTTGCAAAACAGGAGACTGTGATTATGTTATTTTAAATTCTTACATGATTTATTTTCTGATTATATATACTCTTATTTCTCATTATCATCTCGTTCTAATTTTGAGGTACTCTAGATACATCTTTTTTTTGGGAAAAGGCTGTTGAAAAATTCTTGTATTATTTGCAAATACTAAAGATCAACTGGGTATCAATATTAATGAAGACCAGACAGAATGAGTATATCACTTAGATTTTGTATACAAGAGACTTCTTAAGCACTAGGCACATATAAGAAGTGAACTAGATACAAATAATTCAATTTTATTTCCTCCTATTTTAAATAATCATTATGGTCCATTCTACATAAAGATCTAAAAGCCTAGATACTAGGTAGTGGCAAAAAGAAAACTTAAAGAGTTTTATTAAGACAAAAAAGGACACAGCCTACCGTGGTGATGTACCGGGAGTGGAATTCTGGAGCATCTTTGAGGAACGTAAGGCCAGGATGTGTATCTACCACATCCTGAAAAAGAACAAAATCATAACGAAATTAACAAACATACCAAAAAACTCCCTAAGATACATACTGAATTTTTTTTTAACTCTTGTACAATACTTGCCAGTTGAGCAAACTTGCTGTTTCACAATACTGAACAATGCATTTAAAATTTAACTAGTATTTTATTAAACTCAAATATTTCACAAGCACACTTTTGTGTGACTTGGATATGTACAGTATACTTCAAGAAAGTTAAAATGTTAATCTGGCTATATCTGGTGATTTGTAAATCAAGTGTCTTACAGGTACATGCTGTAATTCTAACACACGTCAGCGAAATTCATCCCATAGATCTTGTTAGGGATTGCCAAGTGAAATTTACACAGAAAGGAGGATAGACAGAAGCCAACTAGAATGATTCTTTCTTAACCTACAGACATGGGAAATTACTGGAAAAATTACTGGTAGCCAAATAACTTTATGTTAAGGTATGTGAGTCAGCTAATGTTCATCAAATTCACTGTGTTGATAAATCTGTTTCCCAATTTAGGATTTTATTTATTTTAAATCTGATATCCTGTTCTCACAGAAGACTATTTGAATATTAAAACCTTGAAATAGTTTTTTTTTTTCTTTGTTGTTCAGTTGCTCAGTCACATCCGACTCTTTGCAACCCCATGGACTGTAGCACGCCAGCCTTCCCTGTCCATCACCAACTCCTGGAACTTGCTCAAACTCATGTCCATTGAGTCAGTGATGCCATCCAACCATCTCAACCTCTGTTGTCCCCTTCTCCTGCCTTCAATTCTTCCCAGCATCAGGGTCTTTTCTAATGAGTCAGTTCTTCGCATCAAGTGGCCAAAGTATTGGAGCTTTAGCTTTGGCATCAGTCCTTCCAATAATATTCAGGATTGACTTCTTCTAGGATTGACTGGTTTGATCTCCTTGCAGTCTAAGGGACTCTCAAGAGTCTTCTCCAACACCACAGTTCAAAAGCATCAATTCTTCAGGGCTCAGCCTTCTTTATGGTCCAAGTCTCACATCGATACATGACCACTGGAAAAACCATAGCTTCGACTATACAGACCTTTGTTGACAAAGTAAAGCCTCTGCTTTTTAATATGCTGTTTAGGTTTGTCATAGCTTTTCTTCCAAGGAGCAAGCATCTTTGAATTTCACGGCTCCAGTCACCATCTGCAGTGATTTTGGAGGCCAAGAAAATAAAGTCTGTCACTGTTTCCCATTGTTTCTCCATCTATTTGCTATGAAGTGATGGAATCAGACGCCATTTGTTTTCTGAATGTTGAGTTGTAAGCCAGCTTTTTCACTCTCCTCTTTCACCTTCATCAGGAGGCTCTTTAGTTCCTCTTTGCTTTCTGCCATAAGAGTAGTGTCATCTGTGTATCTGAGATCATTGTTATTTCACCTGGCAATCTTTTTTTTTTTCACCTGGCAATCTTTTTTTTTTCCACCTGCCAATCTTTTTTTTTTCACCTGGCAATCTTGACTACAGCTTGTGCTTCATCCAGTCTTGGCATTTTGCATCATGTGCTCTGCATTAAGGTAAATAAGCAGGGTGACAATATACAGCCTTGACATACTCCTTTCCCCCTTCTAAATCAGTCTGCTTTTCCATGTCCGGTTCTGTTGCTTCTTGACCTGCATAGAGGCTTCTCAGGAGGCAGGTAAGGTGGTCTGGTATTCCCATCTCTTTAAGAATTTTCCACTATTTGTTGTCCACACAGTCAAAGGTTTTAGTGTAGTCAATGTAGCAGAAGTAGATGTTTTTCTGAAATTCTCTAGCTTTTTCTATGACCCAACGGATGTTGGCAGTTTGATCTCTGGTTCCTCTGCCTTTTCTAAATCCAGCTTGTTTTAAATCCTGGAAGTTCTCATTTCACATACTACTGAAGCCTAGTTTGGAAGATTTTGAGCATTATTACCTTGCTAGCATGTGAAATGAGTTTTTTTTTTCTAATTAGGTTTTTAAAACATTTTCAATGAGTCTAGAGAATCTAATGGAGATAATTACTGTTAATTTAATAACCAGAGACAACAGTAATGCTACCACAGAAATAATCTATTAACTGGCTAGTCATGAATGGACAGACATCAGTTACATCTCTTTTCTTTGTTTCCTCAGAGCAGTTAGCTATTCATACTTACCAGTATAGTCTAAAACCAATGAACCTTATTTAAATTTTTATTTGGAAATAATTTTAGTCTTAAAGAAAATTACAAAAATATTACAGAGATTCCCTATGTTCTCCCAGCTTCTCATAATGGTAACAACTGACCTGCCTCTTGAGAAACCTGTATGCAGGTCAGGAAGCAACAGTTAGAACTGGACATGGAACAACAGACTGGTTCCAAGTAGGAAAACAAGTATGTCAAGGCTGTATATTGTCACCCTGCTTATTTAACTTATATGCACAGTACATCATGCGAAATGCTGGGCTGGAAGAAGCAAAAGCTGGAATCAAGGTTGCTGGGAGAAATATCAATAACCTCAGATACGCAGATGACACCACCCTCATGGCAGAAAGTGAAGAAGAACTAAAGAGCCTCTTGATGAAAGTGAAAAAGGAGAGTGAAAAAGTTGGCTTAAAGCTCAACATTCTAAAAACTAAGATCATGGCATCTGGTCCCATCATTTCATGGCAAATAGATGGGGAAACAGTGGAAACAATGGCTGACTTTATTTTTCTGGGCTCCAAAATCACTGCAGATGGTGACTGCAGCCATGAAATTAAAAGACGCTTATTCCTTGGAAGGAAAGTTATGACCAACCTAGATAGCATATTAAAAAGCAGAGACATTACTTTGCCAACAAAGGTCTGTCTAGTCAAGGCTATGGTTTTTCCACTGGTCATGTATGGATGTGAGACTTGGACTATAAAGAAAGCTGAGCGCAGAAGAATTGATTGTTTTGAACTGTGGTGCTGGAGAAGACTCTTGAGAGTCCTTTGGACTGGAAGGAGATCCAACCAGTCCATCCTAAAGGAGATTAGTCCTGGGTGTTCACTGGAAGGACTGATGTTGAAGCTGAAACCCCAATACTTTGGCCACCTGATGCAAAGAGATGACTCATCTGAAAAGGCCCTGATGCTGGGAAAGATCGAGGGCAGGAGAAGAAGGGGACGACAGAGGATGACATGGTTGGATGGCATCACTGACTTGATGGACATGGGTTTGGGTGGACTCTGGCAGTTGTTGATGGACAGGGAGGCCTGGCATGCTGCGGTTCATGGGGTCACAAAGAGTTGGACATGACTGAGCGACTGAACTGAACTGAACAAACTATAGTACAATTATCAAAGCTAAGAAATGAACATTGATGTAATACTGGGTTGGTGCAAAAGTAATTGTGGTTTCACTCTGTTGAACTTTGTTGTTTGATACCGGAATACATTTTCAAATAAAAGTGGTTATATATCATTTTAATGCACATTTCTTGCTTTATGATTAATGACTTATTACTTGTTTATTTTACATTTATTTTAGACTCCAGAAATGATGTTAGGCAAGCAAATTTCAGTGATTTTTTTAATTCAAGTTCAAAATGGGTTATAAAGCAGCAGAGACAACTACCAATGTCAACAACACATTTGGCCCAGGAACTGCTAACGAACATACAGTGCAGTGGCAGTTCAAGAAGTTTTGCAAAGGAGATGAGCCTTGAAGATGAAGAGCATTGTAGTCAGCCACCAGAAATTGATAATGACCAACTGAAAGCAATCATTGAAGCTGATCCTCTTAGAATTACATGGGAAGTTGCTGAAGAACTGAACATCGATCTTTCTATGGTCATTTGGCATTTGAAGCAATTTGGAAGGGTGAAAAAGTTTGATAAATGGCTGCCTCATGAGCTGTTGTTTTGAAATGTTGTCTTCTCCTATTCCATACAACAACAATGAAACATTTCTTGATCAAATTGTGATGTGTGATGAAAGGTGGACTTTATACAACAACTGGTGATAACCAGCTCAGTGGTTGGACCAAGAAGAAGCTCCAAAGCACTTCCCAAAACCAAACTTGCACCAAAGTAAAAAAAAAAGGCATGGTCACCGTCTGGTGGTCTGCTGCCCATATGATTCATTATAGCCTTCTGAACCCCAGCAAACCACTACATCTGAGAAGTATGTTCAGCAAATCGATGAGATGCACCAAAAACTGCAATGCTTGCAGCTAGTATTGGTCAACAAAAAGGGCCCAATTCTTCTCCATGACAATGCTTGATCACACGTTGAAGAACCAACGCTTCAAAAGTTTAACAAATTGGGCTACAAAGTTTTGCCTCATTTGCCCTATTCACCTGACCTCTTGCCAACTACCTACCACTTCTTCAAGCATCTTGACAACCTTTTGCAGGAAAAATGTTTCCACAACCAGCTGGAGGCAGAAAATACTTTCCAAGAGTTCACTGAATCCTGAAGCACAGATTTTTTTTTTTTTTTCCTGCAGCATAGATTTTTATGCTACAGGAATAAACAAACATTTTTTGGTGGCAAAAATGTGTTGATTGTAATGGTTCCTATTTTGATTGATAAAGATGTGTTTGAGCCTGGTTATAATGATTTAAAATTTATAGTCCAAAACCGCAGTTACTTCTGTACCAACCTAATACTAAACTACAGATCTTATTCAAAATTTACCAGCTTTCCCCCAATGTCTTTTTTTTTCTGTTTCAGGATCCTAACTGCATTTAGTTCTTGTGTCTCATTGCTATCCCAATCCATGGCAGTTCTTCAGTCTTTCCTTATGTTTCATGATTCTGACACTTTAATGAGTTCTGGTCAGTTACTCTGCAGAATGTCTCCCAATGTGGCATGTCTGGTATTTTCTTATGATTAAAGTTACACACTTTTAGTGAGTTTACCACAGAAGTGATGTGTCCTTTTCAGTCATATAAGGAGTATGTGGCACTGATAGGTCTTACAACTTGTATTAATTTTTTAATACACTTGGTTAAAGTGGTATCTGTTGGGTCTGCCACCATAAATTTATTACATTCCTTTAATAGT